TTCTCTCTCTCTCTCTCTCTCTCTCTCTCTCTCTCTCTCTCTCGTTGTTTTCTCTAAAAAAAAATGCATCACTCACACACACCTGCATGCGCACATAATATATTCTGAAGAAACAATGAGGTATACATTGTGGGGGTTAAACCCATACCATAGATTTTATAAAACCAGCTCAACTAACAAACTCAAATGTGAAATGACTGTGTGTACGGTAAAATAAGAACATCATTTATTTATCTTCCTGAAGACACGACTCCATCTTCTACACCTGAATTGGAGACATTTTCACAACATAATATTATGAAACGGGCTGACAAAATGAGTTACTTCTCTCACTCAAACGTTATGGAAATAGATACATCATGCTTGTACAGACTTCAAGGACCACTTGCAAACACTCTGAGGGGTCTTCTTGGGTCGCCCTGCGCGAGGGCGTTCTTGGACTGATCCAGTGGCTTGATGGCGCTGCCTCAAGCGGACAATGATAGAGTATGACACTGCAAGCTTTCTGGCAACTTCTCGGGCTCCAACTCCATCGTGCAGCCATGCCATAGCTCTGGCACGATCAAAGTCTCTCAGCTTTCGTTTTGGAGGCATGTTGATGCGATATTGGATTTTGCGCAAACGGCGGCTTATATTGCCACCAAAGTGAGCACATTTCGAAACCATACGTCCGTTTATGACATGCACCAGAAATTTTAACTTAGGAATGTTCTAGGTGTCGCACACAAGTCGATAAAAAACAGCAAATTTGGCTAAAGTTTCAAGAGGATTTCCGTGCTGCTCATGGTGATTTTGTCCCTTTAGGAAGCTTTGCAGAACTCATCGGTAACCCATTAACACTTTTGGAGGAAAACAATTTGAAACATTCCTTGTTGCCTTTTTACTGATTTTAAAAAAAATCATAGATCTAGTCGTCTGTCAAGGTGGTCCTTAACCTTTGTTGAAGTCTGGTGAAGTTTGAACATTTTATAAGTATTAACTAATAAAAGGTATGTTATAGTCAAAGGATATCGCATTAATTGAAATTCTACAAATTTGACCCTTGTGTCGATTTTTCCCAATATTATCTCTGTTTGTGGATTGCGAGAAGTAACTCATTTTGTCAGCACACTTCAGTCAGTCTTTTATTCGAACTTTCAGCTCACAGATGTGGACTGCCGTGATATTCACACCATGGGCCGTATGTTCTTTGCCCTGTCTGTGGCAGAATTGAACCAGATTCCTGACCCGGCCCTGGGTGAATGCGGTGCCCACATCGGCATGATGATGGACGTGATGTGTGACGAGACACCGATGGTCTGCAACAAAATTTGGGAGAAGGTATATCTTTTGACTGAGACATGAAACGAGAAACAATTTGAAATAGATTAACCGTTAAATAGGTAAGGGACTGACAAATAGACAAACTGTGCATCGTTTTGGCGTATGTGTGTGTGTGTGTTTGTTTGTGTGTTTGTTTGGGTGGTTGTGAAATAGATAGATAGATAGATAGATAGATAGATAGATAGATAGATAGATAGATAGATAGATAGATAGATAGATAGATAAATAGATAGATAAATAGGTATTTAGGTGAAGTGTGTGTGTGAGAGAGAGATGTGTGTGTGTGTGTGTGTGTGTGTGTGTGTGTGTGTGAGAGAGAGAGAGAGAGAGAGAGAGAGAGAGAGAGAGAGATGGAGAGACAGACAGACAGACAGACAGACAGACAGACAGACAGACAGACAGACAGACAGACAGACAGACAGACAGACAGACAGACAGACAAACAGACAGAGACAGAGAGAGACAGAGAGAAACAGAGAGAGAGAGCAAAATATTGAGGAGTGGGGGGAGGGGGAATGGGGGAGGGAGTGGAAATGTGCATTGCAACTTAGAACCTAGTAGTACACTGTATTTCCGAAAGAGCCTTCCCTAAAAATGACTTTTCTTCCTCCCAGGTGAAGAGACACAACAGCTCTCGTGGAGACTCTCTGGGCGGAGTCATCACCTCCATGGGGCCCGGCGTGCTCAGGTTCGTGCCTAGCGATGACCTCCGTGACCTCTCCCTGGACGACCTGGGAGGGCTGGACAATCTGAAGAACCTAGACCTGGACGCCGCTCAGGTACGTCGAACTGGCGTCGTGGTGAATCTGTTGATAGGTGCTTTGCTGTAGCACGCTAGAGAACCGAGATCGATTCCCATATTATCGGTTTATAAGCTGAGATGTTTTATCCTTGTCATCACAGTTAGGCTCTGTCATGCATCGTTGAAGTCCGCGTCATAAAAGATCTAAATAATGTATGCCAACACACAGTAGATGAGAATTTTGTAGAACTGATTATTTCCTTCGACAGCACAACGGCGAAATTTGTACTGGTCATCTGCCTTGTTAGCCTACTTTATGCAACATGAGCCGTCTTCGGTATTTTTTTGTTATTAGTTTTTTTAAAGTTGTTTTTTCTCACAAAAGCAAATCAAGTTAAGAACAAGCCAATTCCATCATTAAAAAAGTGAAAAACACTCACGTATGCGCGTGCATGCATGTCAATGAACTACCAAAGGCATGAAGTTATGGTTGGATTAAACTTAGCCTGTTTTTCACGACCCGTCCGTATGCATTTTACAATTCTCCTTTGCCATGGTGATAATTTACCCTCTCCCCCCACCCCCTCTCCTCTTCCTCTCCTGCCCATCCCCTGCAGTCGGAGGTGGTGATGGAGATCGTGGAGCGAGAGTTTGGAGCCGTGTCCAAGGACAACATGAACTACACCGGCGCACAGGTCGAGAAACTGGGTCACGTCTTCTTCAAGGGCGCGTCTTCCGAGAGCTTGCAAGAACTTCCTGAGGGCATGGAACTTATGGAAACCCTTCCTAGCATCGTTGCCAATCTCGAGCACATGAATGATAAAAAGGTAAGAACAAAATGTTTATGTTCATAAGCATAGCTCCATGAGGGCACATAAACTATGGGATTCTTTTCCTACTACGATTGACAATTTCTAATTCATGACTGACAAAAAGGTAAGAACAAAACGCTGATTAGTTTCTCGAAAGCACGTAACTTATGAAATCCTTTTCTACCGCGGTTGACAATCTCTGGCATAGTCACATATGACAGAAAAGTAAAAACTAAATGTTTATTGGCCTCACGACAGCTGAAAAGTCATGGAATTCCTTCGTAACACTGCTGACAAACTCAAGCTCTGCAAAATGGTTCGACCAAATTGTTAATAGTATGACATATCAGCCATACATACAAACAACAAACTCTAGCAAAACCTTTCTTTCAATAGTTCATGATGGATTTCTAACAGTGTCCTTTATCGAAACCATAACGCCGTATTCACATGGCAAACGAAAAGCTGCAGCATCTTTCCTTTTGGTTCTTTGTTTTTTTGTTACCCTTCCAGAAATGACAATTAGCTTGATCAAAACAGAAAAACACCCCAGGAATAGAATTGCTTATAAATTATAATAACAAATTCTTTATTTATTGCACAACTGTCATGAAACCTCTGTCCTTGACCTCATTATAACCTGCCCTGACCTCCACAGATCAAGGTCGTGTACGACAAACTGCACACCATGTTCGGCATGGACAAGGGTACAGAGGTCTGTCTGGACGAGTCTACGGTCAAGCAAGCAGCTGGATTCTTCTCGCAGGCAACGTGAGTTTTGTTGTTGTTGGTGGTGTTGTTGTTGGTGGTGTTGTTGTTGGTGGTGTTGTTGTTGGTGGTGTTGTTGTTGGTGGTGTTGTTGTTGGTGGTGTTGTTGTTGGTGGTGGTGGTTTTGTTGGTTGTAGTTGTTTACTTTTTTAACGACACTTTATTTTAAGCCTATGTAACATAGTTTATAAAACTGTTCTTTTCACCTCCCTAACATCAAATTCGTTTAATAAAAACAGAAAAGGACCTAGGTTACACTATGATCAACCTTATAAAATATTGAATATTATACATGTAATATTACCTACTTTGACAGTGTAGAAATTAAGGAAACAATGTCTTTAGATTCACAAAACCCCACTCTGGAGGTGGTGGTGGTGTGTGTGTGTGTGTGTGTGTGTGTGTGTGTGTGTGTGTGTGTGTGTGTGTGTGTGTGTGTGTGTGTGTGTGTGTGTGTGTGTGTGTGTGTGCGCGTGTGTTCGTGCACGGTGTGTGATGGATAGATACATAGAGAGATAGGGAATGGGGGAGAATGCGTTTGAGAGGGGACGGGAGGGAGGGAGGGAGAGATAAAGAGACAGAGAGAGAGGATGAGAGAGAAAGGAAGAAAGAGAGAGAAGCGGGAGTAGAAAGAGGAGGAGGAGGAGGAGGAGGAGGAGCACAGAGGAGGAGGAGGAGGAGGAGGAGGAGGAGGAGGAGGAGGAGGAGAAGCAAATATGAATCGTTGCACGATCTTAGCGCTCATGTTGAAGGGAGGGGGGAGGTGAGTACGAGTTCGAGAGCAAGATTGGAAGAGTGTAAATCTTTTAGCACACATGTTTTAGTGAAATTTTGGCTGTGTGCATACTCACATTCGAGGGTACTATGTATGTAGTTCGTTTGGATACGTGTGTGCATGTGTGCGCGTATATATGTGAGCTTCACAAGGAACTAACAAATGTATATGACTCCACAGGCACGATGACCTGATGCAGCTTGACCGAGACACGAGATTGTCTGTGCTGTCCGAGATAGGCCAGAGTGGAGATGTGGTCAAGACGATGACCAGAGAAGGCATCAAGGAACATTTCAAAACTCTCAAAGAAGCTGAAGTGAGTAAATGGAATCGTTTTTTTTTACTTCAAATTTGTTTACATGGTCTAGTGGTGAGCAAACGGGATAAAGGATAGCCATAATTGTCTCGTCAGATGTCATTAAAACGAATTATTTTCAGTTTACTAGTTGTTATTGTTTTGTGTCAATCTATACCTTTCTCACCAATATATTACATTTCCTATGACCACTGAGTTCAGATTCCTATTCTATCGCAAATTGCCTCGCTTTAAGGAGCAATTTAAACTGAGAATACGGAAAAAAGCTTCATTTTTGCATCTCTCAGATTTGCCCTAGTTTTTAAACTATTTTTACTAAAGAATTTTATGACATGATACATAATATTATTTGTCCTTCAGAATTTTGCTTGTTTAACCGTTACTGACAAGTGCAGCGCTACAAATGATAAAAATCATAAAATCATTGAATCTATATTGCACATATTAACTCTCTCCCATGTGCTGTAGTCACTTTACCCCAGCAGACCCTATATCACTCAAAAACACTTTTGGCTCCTTGGGAAACATGCAGTGCAAGTATCCGATTAAGCAATCAAACATTAGCAGACTGACAAGATATTTCGCTGTTTATAGCGGTGTACCCATTCCCACATAGGAGAAGTAAAGAACATCCGTGTAAACGTTTCTATCCCAAGGACATAACATTGGACCCCTGATGGGGTTCGAACCCATGCCCTTTTGGTTACGAGCGTGACAGTGTAACAACTAGTTCACAGATACTTGGTCGCAAGACTTAAAAGTAACGTAAATCCAAAACATTTTTCTTCATTTCATCAGAACCTGAACACGAGAGGCAGCTTCACGTCCAGCGACCTGGAGAAGTACGGGCCTCACATCTTCTGTGGCATGGACGCCACAGACGCGCAGAAGCTGAGCACCGCGGCTGTGGACAACTTCCTGCAGGAACTGGACGAGTGTGAGCAGCTGGACTCTGACACCAGGACCGTCATCGCTCAGAAGGCGGTCAACTCAGCGAGGTGAGTAGTAGAACTGAAGGTGTTAAAACGAGGGGGGGGGGGGGCTCTCGTGGCCTAGAGGTTAAGGTGTTGGCCTCTCATTCAAAAGGTCCCGGGTTCGAATCCGGGTAGCGAGCGAAACATTTTCTTCTCTAAATTTGTCTCCTTTCACCTCGTTTCCTGCTCTTTTGCAATGTTCTGTCGTCTGCGTTCGTCTCCCCTATCTGCCCCCACCCCCTCACCTCCTTTGCCCCTTCCTCTGGGCTCCTGATTCTTTCTGCAGCCTTTCTACTGCTACTCCTTCGCGCTCATATGACCTTATGCAGTTGCGAGCGCCGTAAAACACTTTACAAAAACAAAAACAAAAACAAAGTGTTAAAACGATAGAGGGTCTGCGTCACATTTGGCTTATTATATGGTCGCTTTTAAGGACAAGCTGGCCAACCCTGATTTCGGGGGTTTCCAGAAATCTAGACCTACACCCAAAGAGGGCATTGTCCTACCTAAAGGAGAAGTTTGGTAACATTGATGGGCATATTTAATTAGTTTGGTTACAGAGAAATCTCTACTTGGTTTTTTTACTGAAACTGAACGAAGGGCAAAAACTTGAGCTTCGATTTTCTCAAAACAGCATTTTTCGGGTTAGCCCCCTTGTGCTTAAAAGTGACCCATTGTTCTTAGTGTGGCGACCACAACGAGGAGAGATTACACAACATAGCGTTTGGATGAAATAACTGGATGGATTAATATCAGAGTTATGGCCTTAACAGGTTACACAAACTCCGTAGTATATCATACGGTCGCTTTTAAGGATAAGCGGGCTAACCCGGATTTTTTTTAGATTTCTACACCAAAAGTGGGCATTGCCCTACCTATAGGGGAAGTTTGGTTTCATTAGTGTATAGTTGTTCGGTTATAGACGAAACTCTCTGTCTTTTAAAGAATCTGAACAAGAGGCAAACACTTTCCCTTCGATTATCTCAAAACAGCGTTTTTCTGGTGCTTAAAAGTGACCAACTTAATAAGCTTGCTGTGTTTTGTATTTCACTCCAAACGACCTCCGGCATGTTAATGCTATGTTCGTTTATAATTCTTATTATTTTCCTTGACCAATCTTCACCAGCGACTGTACTGTGACGTAGTGGTTAAGACAATGGACGTAGAAAATGTAGAAAATTATTACTTTTATAAACATGTTTAGCCTGTCGAGTATCCACATCTTTTTGTCTGGATGCTGCCTCCCAGCTAGTCATGGCCGTCCTTTACTGACAATGTCGAGTCAGTCCGCCTCCTGAATGCTCCTTTGGTAATTTGATAGGGATCACCCTCGTAGTGGGGGCTTTCATTGCCTAGAAGTTAAGGTGTTCGGCTCTCATCCAAAGGTCCCGGGTTCGAATCCGGGTAGCTAAGGACAGTTTTTATTCATTCTAAAATTGTCTCCTTTCACTTCCTTTCCTGCTCTCTAGCAATGTTCTGTCGTCTGCTTTCGTCTTCACTTTCTGCCCCGACCTCTGCACCTCCTTTGCCCCCTCCTCTTGGCTCCTGACTCTTTCTGCAGCCTTTCTACGTTCTGCTACTTGTCTCCTTCTTACTGCTGTCTTACAGCCACACCCCCGATCTTCTGGTAGGAAAGATCTACACCTAGCCTTCTCAGACAAGGGCGAAAAAATCTCAGTGGTTCCGTGTGCAAGTTGTGCACGTTAAAGATCCCTAGGTTTTCTAAAATCGATAAGAGTAAGCTTAGGCTGCCACCCGGGTAACATTCAAAGCTTCTACCAACTGAAAATGTTTAATGTGTCCCACGCGCTCATATGACCTTATGCAGCTGCCAGCACCGTTAAACACTTTCGAAAAATTTTTTTTTTTTAAATACCCCTAGTAGTGACAGATGTTATTTGTGACACAGCGTGGTGGAATCAGGTTCTCGTCAATTTTTGGACATGTAGAGTTATTGGTTTTATCTTAAAGCTTGTTCATTTGTCTTGCTTTCAATGAAAATATTACCCTTCCATCTTCAATAGAAGTGGAAATATTTTGGATTGAAGGAGGTGGGGGTCACCTAATTTAAGAGATAAAATTAGCGAGAAAATGGCCGCCAAAACTCGGTAAATTCCTAAGTTGGAGAGTACATGGAAACTGTAAATTTATATTTTCGTGCCTTTAATCAACGTTTTCGGTGAAATTCTCAAAGGAATGTGTTTGTAAATGGACATAAAAGGTGTTGAGCCAAAAAACAAAAATTTTATAAAAATTGCTAAGCAGGGAGAAAACTGCTGTTTTCTTCGATTTCATTATTTTTTCGAGAGCCTGATTCCACCACGCTGCCTCACATGTTTAAATTCCCCTCTTTGGAAACGCGTGTTGGTGGCCATTCCGAGCGTTTTGACATCTTCATGTGGCAAAAGTGGGCGGTGGTTGTAAGAAGGTTGAATATTGTTTGTACATGCATTTATGTAAAGCGCCTAGAGCTGTGTTTACACGGGAGTGGACGCTATAAAAATGATTTTCATTATTATTTATTATTATTTATTATTATTATTTTTTTTAAAAATTATTACTACTACTACTACTACTACTACTACTACTACTACTACTACTACTACTACTACTACTACTACTACTACTACTACTACTACTATTATTATTATTATTATTATTATTATTATTATTATTATTATTATTATTATTATGGGACAAGCAAGCACTAATCTAGCTTGTATCAAGTCCATCAACCAATGACCAACGTTTCTCTCTCTGTATTTCCAGTGGTCTGTCAGGCCTGGCCAACGATCCCCAGAAGTTGGAGTCCATGGGCACCCTCATGCTGCATGTGGATATGTCTGGAGCCGCTAACCTGCGCTCAGTAAGACTTTCTCTTTTTGTGTGTGTCTATGTGTTTTTATGTGTGAGTACGTGTGTGAGAGGCCAATTGATAGATAGATAGATAGATAGATAGATAGATAGATAGATAGATAGATAGATAGATAGATAGATAGATAGATAGATAGATAGATAGATAGATAGAAATTCTGAAACTTTATTCGGTATAAAATCATTATTTGTGTTGTAAGAAAGAGTATAATTTTTTTCCTAAAAACAACTCACAGGCCAAAAATTAAATTATTTATTGATCATTTATTAAGTGTTGATTAATTTTTAATTAATCATTAAATTAATTCTTTCATCCATTTGTTCTTTTATTCTTTTATCCACCCTTTCATTCATTCATCCATTCACTCTTTCATACATACATAAATTCATTCATTCATTCATCCACTAATTCATTCATTCATTCATTCATTCATTTATTCATTCATTCATTCATTCATTCATTAACTCATACATACATAAATTCATTTATTCATTCATCCCCTCATTCATTCATACATTCATTCATTCATTCATTCATTCATTCATTCATTCATTCATTCATTCATTCATTCATTCATTCATCAACTAGTATGTAATTCAGTAAATTAACTATGTTCCCCAGGACCAGAAGGAGCGCCTGGGCTCGGTGGTGGGTGACGTGATGGAGAGAGTGAACAAGAGAGAAAAACGCCTGGAGCAGCGCAGCAGTAGTGACATTCCCAAGGCCGAGAAGACGGACGAGAAAATGTTACAGAACAACATGGCTAGGGCATTGTGGGATGTCGTGGCCGGTGAGAATGAGACCCGTTTGGTGGTTATGTGCTTGAAGCGGTTTACTTGTACGCAGCTTTACCTAGGTTTAGTTTCAGAAAGAGTTTTACTGCACTTTCAACTCCAACAGACTAACAGTGCCGGAGGTTAGAGGTGTCACTAGAAAGTAACATACCAAGAAAAGAAGGAGGAGGTGTTTGATATGAAAGACGAAGAAAAAACCCACACTAGAGCTTTCGCTTTCAACCCACATACCTCCGTTTTTATTCATTTATTCATTTGAAATATATTGTGAGGCAGCGCGGTGGAATCAGGCTCTCGTCAATTTTTGGGCATGTAGAGTTATTGGTATCATCTTAAAGCTTGTTCAGGTGTCTTTATTTGGATGAAAAAAGTATCCATTTATCTTGAATGCAAGTCGAGATATTTGCGAATGAAGGAGGTGGGGGTCCCCGGTTTTCAGAGGTAAAATTAGTTAGAAAATGGCCGCCAAAGATTTGTTAATTCCTTAGCTTAAGTGTCCGTGGTAACTGAAAATTTAAATTTTTTGTGCCTTTAATCAACGTTTTTATGAAAACTCCACACAGAAACGAGTTCTTTAATGGGCATTAAAGGTGTTGAGCAAAAAAACACAGATTTTATAAAAATTCACAAACCTGCGGAAAAATGCAGATTTCTTCACTTTGATTATTTTGACGAGAGCCTGATTCCACCACGCTGCCTCACTATTTATTGGTCCCATAACTTTCAGCTATCGGAAACACGTGCGTGTATTGCCACTATGGCCTTGGACTCATACATAAAGTGTTTTCAATGAGATTTAATATTTTGATGTATCGCTTTCAAACTTTCACCAATTTCTCTTCGGTAGAGAGGGGCGAGGTGTCCTTTATACGAGGTGTACTTTATACGAGGTGTACTTTATACGGGGTGTCCTTTATACGAGGTGTACTTTATACGGGGTGTCCTTTATACGAGGTGTACTTTATACGAGGTGTACTTTATACGGGGTGTCCTTTATACGAGGTGTACTTTATACGAGGTGTACTTTATACGAGGTGTACTTTATACGAGGTGTACTTTATACGAGGTGTACTTTATACGAGGTGTACTTTATACGGGGTGTCCTTTAAACGAGGTGTACTTTATACGGGGTGTCCTTTATACGAGGTGTACTTTATACGGATGTCCTTTATACGAGGTGTACTTTATACGGGGTGTCCTTTATACGAGGTGTACTTTATACGGATGTCCTTTATACGAGGTGTACTTTATACGAGTGTCCTTTATACGAGGTGTACTTTATAACTTTCCTCTGACGCTCTTGCCCAGTGCCTGCCAATCTATTTTTTATTACCAACATCCGCTTTTGCCATCTTTGCCAGGCTAGAATATCTGTACTACCCACCTACATGTATTTCCAAGCATGGTAGGGCATTAAAATTCGTCTGTTTATACCTGGGTCATTCTGACTGCTCACCAACCACCACCCCTCCCCCAACCCCCCCCCCCCCCCCACAAAAAACAAACAAACAAACAAAACAAAACAAAACAAAATAAAACAGCCTGGCAACAAGATCGAAATATCTCGCCATCCACGATGGTCTAAATTATTTTGAAGGAAAAGTAAAACATTACAACAAAAATCCCCTACATGTCCTACCTCTGTTTTCAGACACCATCGACTGCCAGACCATCCAGAGTTTCCATGGCGACCTGAGCTTCCTGACCACCGCCGACCTAACCGTCATAGAAGCAGACGTGGTGGTAGAGTGTCTCACCGAGTTCCAGAACACCGATTGGGACCAGGATCAGCTGGACACCCTCGGCTGGAAGATCAAAACGGTGGGTACACTTTACTTAGACTGGCGTCGCTTTATTTGGAAAGAGATGCATGTTAACACAAAAAGTCTGTTTTTTCTCTAATTCGATGTATAATTTATTATGGCGGTACACTTTACTTAGGTTATCGTTGCTTTATTTTTTTTAAAGATGCTTCATGTATAACAAAAAAAAGTCTGGTTTTTTTTCTAATTCGATGTTTAATTTATGGTGGTACACTTTATCTTGGCTGTCGTAACTTTATTTTGAAAAAGAGGCATGTATAGCAAAAAATAAAATGAAGGTCAGTTTTTTCTTCTAATTTGTTGTTTAATTTAGTCGGTTTTTTGGTTTTCTACAAAACACATAATGTACACTCAGACAGACACTCACGTATGCACACAAAAAATGCGTAAACACACAAGCACATTCATTTGTACTTTCTCTTTTCACATTTACACTAACACGAACATACATACTAACACACACACACGCGCACACACACACACACACACACACACACACACACACACACACACACACACACGCACACACACACACACACACACACACACACACACTGAGGTATTCTTGATCGTAAACATAGAAGCATATACTTTTGACAAAACTCCAACTTGACGTGTCTGTCTCTCCCCTAGCAATTCGGCAACGACACCGGAATGTGGGACAAGAAAACCATCATGGAAGCCGGCAAGATTCTGGGCGGCCTTGACCCTGACGACATCCAGAAAATGACGCTAGACAAAGACATCATGGGGGTGTTGGGGCAGTTCCAGATTGCAGACGTAAGTGCTTACTCTCGTTGTTCTAGAAGTATATGTAACGAAGTACACCATTCGGAAATTGAGGGGTCAAAATTCCAAATTTCCTACTAACCGAAAATGTTTAATGTGTCCCGCGTGCTCATGTGACCTTATGCAATTGCGAGCGCCGTAAAACACTTACCACCCCCCCCCCCCAAAAAAAAACACACCCCCTACGCCAAAAAACCCCCCATCAGAAAATGACGCTAGACAAAGACGTCATGGGAGTGTTGGGGCAGTTCCAGCTTGCAGACGTAAGTGCTTACTCTTGTGGTCTAAGAAGAACACGTTTTGTAGTACATGTATAGATGTACATTGTGCATCATCCAGAAAATGACGCTTGACGAAGACATCATGTGGGTGTTGGGGCAGTTCCAGCTTGCAGACGTAAGTGCTTACTCTCGTTGTTCTAGAAGTACAAGTAAAGAAGTACATCATCCTGAAATTGAGGGGGCTCTCGTGGCCTAGAGTCGCCGTAAAACACTTACCAAAAAGAACCCCCCCCCCCCTGAAAATTGGAGTGTTGGGAAAATTCCAACTTGCAGACGTAAGTACTTGCAAAGCTACTTGGATTGCTGATTAAAATGTATCCGTGCGATCTAAACGAAGACTCGGAGTCAGGGGTCACCAGTCTATGGTGTCCGGCCGGGATCCGACCCGGGAGGACAGTTGGTCTGGACAGCAACATACCACAACGTGAGAAGGAACACTTGCAAGATGTGCTAGTAGTGTGCTCAGGACTTGGTCAACAAAATAATTGAAACATTTTTTAAAATTCTACAAGCATTGCATTGCCCTTATAGACTTCATATGTAACTCATATTATATCACACTCTTTCTCGGCTTTAATATGTGAGGCAGAGTGGTGGAATCAGGCTCTCGTCAAAATAATCAAAGTGAAGAAACTTTTTTTTCCTCAGGTTTGTGAATTTTTAAATCAAATTTTGTTTTTTGGCTCAACACCTTTCATGCCCCTTACATAAGTCATTTTTGTGTCGATTTTTCTGCAAAAACGTTGATTAAAGGCACACAAAATGTAAATTTTCAGTTACCACGGACTATTAAGATAAGGAAATAACTAATCTTTGGAGGCCATTTTCTCACTAATTTAACCTCTGAAAACAGGTGACCCCCACCTCCTTCAATCGCAAATATCTCGACTTGTATTTAAGATAAATGGATATTTTTCCATCCAAATAAAGACAAGTGTACGAGATTTAAGATGATACCAATAACTCTACATGCCCAAAAATTGACGAGAGCCTGATTCCACCAGGCTGCCTCACATATGACTTATCGTTCATTAAAAACGGCAGTGTATTGCGCTGAACAAAATAGGTGTCCAGATTGTGTCCAGTATTCTCTCAGTTTTATCGACCCACTTTGAAAATGGTTTGGTGCTCCTTTGATCTAAGTGAAGCGAAATTTAGTTAGTTTTAAAAAAAATAAGTCTCTCTCCTGAAAAAAACAACCTTTGACAGACTTACACGTTTAGAGAATAACAGCAGTGTCTCACCTTCCGTCTCCACAGCCGGAGGCTATGTTCCAGAAGTTCGCCCAGGACGAGGGACTTGGCAACATGAGTGCTGTGGACGCCGACACGATGAGGTCCTTCGGCTCTATGCTGTGTGGGATGTCTGCTGGCGATATGATGGACCTGCAGTCTACTGTTGTGCTGTGAGTGCTGTTGCTGTTGTTTCTGTTGTTGCTGGTGTTGTTGCTGTTGTTGTTGCTGTTGCTGTTGTTGTTGTTTTTGTAGTAGTAGTAGTTGTTGTTGCTGTTGTTGTTGTTGTTTTTGTAGTAGTAGTAGTTGTTGTTGCTGTTGTTGTTGTTGTTGCTGCTGCTCTTGTTGTTTTTGTTGTTGTCATTGTTTTTGTTGTTGTTGTTGTTGGCGTTACTGGCGTTAAAATTGCTGTTGAAAAAGTGGCACTTGTGGGTATGGTAATTATTAAGTTGTTATCGTCGTCGTCATCCCCCTCTTCCTCCTCCTCCTCCTCCTCCTCCTCCTCCTCCTCCTCCTCCTCCTCCTCCTCCTCCTCCTCCTCCTCCTCCTCCTCCTCCTCCTCCTCCTCCTCCTCCTCCACCTCCTCCTTCTTCTTCTTCTTCTTCTTCTTCTTCTTCTTCTTCTTCTTCTTCTTCTTCTTCTTCTTCTCCTTCTCCTTCTCCTTCTCCTTCTCCTTCTCCTTCTCCTTCTCCTCCTCCTCCTCCTCCTCCTCCTCCTCCTCCTCCTCCTCCTCCTCCTCCTCCTCCTCCTCCTCCTCCTCCTCCTCTTCTTCTTATTCTTCTTCCTTTACTTCATCTTCCTTTTCCTCTTCTTCTAGTTTGCTTTCAACAAACATTATATTCCTTAAAGCGGGTATTTTGCCCACACAAAACACTTTGTATAAATTATTTGTTATAAGAACAGGTTATGGATTTAATTAATACAACACATTTCTACTCCAAGAATCGAGACAATACGTTCCTCTTTTTATTGACGAGGACAGAATATACGAAAATCGCGCTTATCTAAGTCAAAGTTGAAGTTTTTCGACAAATAAATCATTGTAGAACAATGTAAAGAGCTGTGTTTCTCTCCTCCAGGGAAGTGGCCAAGGATCTGTCTACCATCGACTGTCTGACCAAAGACCAAGTGAAAGCTATTGCTAGTCGACTGGAGGACGCTATTCCATCCAACCAGTGGAACCAAGTTAGTGTGGAGGAGATGGGCGTCTTGGCAGGTATGTGCAGCCTTAGAAGGAGGTTTCAAATCTTTTTTTTCTCTTCCATAAACTGATTTAGTATCCTGTGAAGGCGCACTGATTTTGGGCAGGAATAAAAAAAAAAGAAATGTAATCTGTTATTCATACAGATTTTTGTTTGAGTTCTATTTTCTTAATCTGTAACTTAAAAAAGGAGGCCATAAACAACGCGCATACTATGAAATGTGCAACGTCATGTATTTGAGGTCATTCACACATGAAGACGCACTGATTCGGAGCACCGATTAAAATGAAGTATAATAATTGTGCCATTCACGTAGAACTGTTTTCGTTCTATTTTCTTAACCTGAAACTTAAACAGACAGGAAACAGCATGCTTAATCCGAAATATGCAAACATTGTGTGTCTGAGTTTTGTATAGTGGTTTGAAATGTGCCCCAATATTGTCCTTGGTCTTCTGGTCGGACACATGTGTCAGCTTCGTCCTTAAAGACTTTATTATGATAACAGCTTGCGTCCAATAAGCCACAATTCCACATGACTTCAGGGTGACTGACATACTGGAAAGCGATAAACTCCTCACTGGTCTCAGAATAATTGTGTTGTCTGCTGAGTTTTCCATGACAGTAGACTACAAATGTGTATCGACCAAATTAAGTCAACAAGTTATTCCTTTGGTCTAAGGTTATTTTGTACACAGCTGTAATTACAACAGGTGATACTATAACGTGAAAAAACCACTCAGCACATAATGTCTAACAATTCTGGAGGATAATAAGATAGAAATTTCGTGACTTTCTCCCTACTTTTCGGAAAATCAGTGTTCACACACTTCGAGTCGGACATTACAGATATATAACTTATATGGCTCTCTTGGTATAAATGTCCCACCGTGCTTTATTCTGGCCCAGGTTCCACTTTCCTCAGTGTAGACTCTGGCATGTACAGTAACGAATCTTCAGTGTAGAATATGGCATGTAACAAATCCTCAGTGTAGAATATGGCATGTAACAAATCCTGAGTGTAGAATATGGCATGTAACAAATCCTCAGTGTAGAATATGGCATGTACAGTAACTAATCCTGTGTGTAGAATAATGGCATGTACAGTAACTGATCTTCAGTGTAGCATATGGCATGTAACTAATCCTCAGTGTAGACTATGGCATGTGCAGTACATGTAACTAATCCTCAGTGTAGACTATGGCATGTACAGTACATGTAACTAATCCTCAGTGTAGAAAACGGCATGTACTGTAACTAATCCTGAGTGTAGAATACGGCATGTACAGTAACAAATCCTGAGTGTAGAATATGGATGGCATGTACAGTAACAAATCCTGAGTGTAGAATACAGCATGTACAGTACATGTAACGAACCCTCAGTGTAGAATACGGCATGAAACTAATCCTCCAAGGTTAACCCCAACAACTGTTCTGTCCAGGTGGTCTGGAGGCCGACAAGTTGGAGCAGCTAGACGACGACCAAGTGAGCGCCATCTCTCCCAAAGCCATCAAAGTGATGAAGCCAGACACCTTCACAAAGGTAGCTCGACACTTTGATTTCTTCGAAGTTTTTCCTATAATTTTTGTCGTGTGTCCCTTTTTCGAGTACCATGTTAATGATGTCTTGTTGGTATCAAATCAACATTAACTATGAGAATGTAAGTAAATAGAATTAAATTAAATTTCAGCCTTAAAAGGAAACAATAACTATCTACTGAGCTTTTCTCCTTCAGACAGATACAACTTTTATCGCACGTGGAAGATCTGAATTCGATTCCTGTATGGGGAGAATTTTTATCAAGTATCTCAGTCTTTCCAACTCAACGCCGATTGGCAGTGATAGGTGGGGTCGAAACACCTTTCCTATATGATCTAAATTTTGTCTATGGGAGTGTAAAAATACTTTTAAAATAATGTTAAACACATTTTTTTTTTTAAACAGCAACAAAAAAAAAAGACTAAACACTCCAACATTTCTCTGACAGGCTTTCAACGCCGACAAGATGAGCAAGCTGACCCAGGACCAGGTGAGCGCCATCAGCCCCAACATGCTGAGGAAGATGGACATCGGTCAGCTGATTGCCATAGAGAGTGTGGCCAACGGCACCAGGGGCGTCAACGCTACACAGATGGCAGCCAACCGCACTGCTTATTTCCATATTGGTGAGCTTGTTGCTCTCTGTCTGTCTGTCTGTCTCTCCGTCTCTCTGTCTTTCTCTCTGTCTCTGTCTGTCTGTCTGTCTGTCTGTCTGTCTGTCTGTCTGTCTGTCTGTCTGTCTGTCTGTCTGTCTGTCTGTCTGCCTGTCTCTCTGTTTGTTTGTCTGTCTATCTATTTTTCTCTCTGTCTCTGCATGTCTGTCTGTTTCTCTGTCTATCTATCTGTCTGTTTGTCTGTCTGTCTGTCTCCTTCTCTCGCTTTCATCTCATCTCTCCTCTCATTCTGTGTCCCCACTTCACTCTCTCTCTCTCTCTCTCTCTCTCTCTCTCTCTCTCTCTCTCTCTCTCTCTCTCTCTCTCTGTCTGTCTGTCTGTCTCTGTCTGTTTCTTTCTCCCCCCTCTCTCTCTCTCTTTCTCTCTCTCTCTCTCTCTCTCTCTCTGTCTCTCTCTCTCTCTCTCTCTCTCCTCTCTCCTCTCTCTCATTCCCCCTCACTTTCACTCGATTTCCACCCCCCTCTCTCTCTTTCTCTCTCTCGGTCTCCCTCTCCACCCTTCCCCTTTATTTTCCTTTCACTACCCCCCCCCCCTTAATAACTGGAATACCAACAAAAATACTTTTTCAAGCACATACTTAGGGCTTTGCTTTTCTAATCCTCTTCAATTGCTAAAACTCTGTTTCCGAATGCCTTCCCAGAAATCCCCACCAACGTGTCTGTGAAGGATCTGGGCACGTTCCAAGAAGTACGAAACCTGAGGAACGACACGGGCTGTCTGTCCGGCATGTCCTTCGGGGGTCAAGCAGATGACCTCCTGGACACTGTGGACAAACAGGACGCCTTTGCCCTCACCCTGCCGCCGGACCACGAGACTCTGTTTGATCGACTCAGGGCTAGCCCAGGTTTGTTTGTTTGTTTGTTTGTTTGTTTGTTGTTTTTTTGTGTTTTTTTTGTTGTTGTTCCCTTGTTTGGATTAGTCCCTTGTCCAAATATCACTTCTATTTATTTATTTTTTTTGATGACTTAGTAAATTGACAAATCTGTTATTGTAAATTGGAGACCTGGGGGGGGGGGGGGGGGGGGGGACTGTGCATGTGTCAAATTTTTGTGAACGGAGAAAAATGGAGACTTAAATCTATAATTGTTAGGCAGCGTGGTGGAATCAGGCTCTCGTCAAAATAATGAAATCGAAGAAAACAGCAGTTTTCTCCCTGCTTCGCAATTTTTATCAAATATTTGTTTATTGGCTAAACACCTTTTGTGTCCATTTACAAACACGTTCCTTTGAGGATTGCACCGAAAACGTTGATTAAAGACACAAAAATATAAATTTACAGTTTCCTTGGACTCTCCAGCTTTGGAATTTACCAAGCTTTGGGGGCCATTTTCTCGCTAATTTTACCTCTTAAATCAGGTGACCCCCAGCTCCTTCAATCCTAAATATCTCCACTTCTATTGAAGATGGATGGGTAATTTTTTCATTGGAAGCAAGACAAATGAACAAGCTTTAAGATGATACTAATAACCCAATATGCCCAAAAATTGACGAGAGCCTGATTCCACCACGCTGCCTCACATATTTGCTTTTGGGTACGCTCTAGTTTTTCCATTTTTCTCGCTACGTCGTTAACGGTAGAGTGTCATTTGCACTAATGATAGATACGGCGGAAAGTCTTCTCTGTTTATAGATACGAAAAACTCAATTTTTGCCAATCTCGGCTTAGGTCTCTCATCGACCCAGTCTGAGGCTTACACACAGAGCCTAGATAGATACTCAATAAGAATCTTCCACAGTGGAGAATCGAAACCATGTCTTCTGGGTACAATTGCCAAGAGCCTGTCGTCACCCACACAGACGCCGTTTTTCAAAAAATCCTATTTTGTAATTGTACATACTCCTCCCTTCTCAGACCACGATGTGGGTATCTTCACCACGTTTGAGATGCGCATGGTGCTGGAGTATCTGATGGACAACCTTGACCCTGCCGGCCGCGACACTTACCTTGACCTTTTGGCCCAGTTCCCGACCTTGACCAGGGATGAGGTCAACCACACGGTCACCACATGGCCACCGAGACTGCATCTCTTGATGAAGGTAAGCTATTACATTTTTGTTTTAGTAAGCATTTTACTGCACTTGCAACACAATTAGGTCACATCACAGCCAAAGATTAGAGGTGTTTTAAGAAAGTAACAAACTCAAAAAGAAGGAGGAGAGATAAGGACGATATATTATGTTTGATATAAAAGAAGGAGCAAACAACACTAGAGCCCCCGCTGACTACCCGCAACTAACTTTTACAGAAACGAGATAAAAGGAGATCTAAATATTATTAGATCAGTGTCAAGAGTTAATACTGACGAAATAGGTAAAGTGGATAGTTGGTTGGTGATCAAGTGCTGTTTACTCCTTCTTTCCTATCAAACATGTGTTGTCTTTATCTCTCCTTCTTTTCTTTGTGTTTTACTCTCGCCACGATGCGTCACCAATCATACTTTTCTTCCCCAGCCCCACCTGATGTGCTCGACGTTGGGTCAGATGGACGTGGAGGTTCTCAACAACTTCTGTGAGCACCTGACAGACGAGGATGTGAGCACAGCTACCGTGATTGAGATGCTCAACCGGTGCGGAGACTGTCTAGCCGTCGCTCACGCGAGCAGGACTGACGAGGGAGTGAGTAGTTTTTAGTTTAGTAGAGTTTTTACGTCGCTCACAACTGCATAAGGTCATGATATTAGCGCCAAGGGGTGGGTGTAAACAGAGAAGCCTTTACAGGGAATCATACTTACTCTTTGTTTGTTTTATTAGAGGTTTTGCGGCGCTCGCAACTGCATAAGGTCATATAAGCGCCAATGGGTGGATGTCAACAGAAAAGTCTTTACAGGGAATCAGACTTACTCTGCTCACCTCTCTAGCTTCAACAGCACAAGTCTGCTTCGACTGTCAAGGCACCCCGGAAATAGCAGGTCACAAGAGAGTGACAAACATACAAAAGAAGTAGGGGAAAATGACGATAGTACGGATTTGGAAAGAAAAAGCAGAAGTTCCCTGTTGCAGTTCAGGCACAGTTATGATGATGACATTGGTGAATCAGCCCATTTACAATTCTACTGTGCATAAAAACATGTTAATGTCCCCCTTTTGGGAATGGCCTATAGACACTTCAGTCCGTGGCACCGCCCCACAGGGGTTGGG